AGTACAATATAACATTTTAGACACATTCTAGACAGTTTGTCAGCTAAAAAAAAGTTAATTTTGGGGTAAGTTACTCTTTAAAAAACAAGTATCACTTTTAACAATGGTATCTGCAATAGCTTTGTATTTACTTGGTATCGGATYGATACCAAAATTCCTACCTTTAACATCCAGTAAATAATTTCTGAAAGTTAATTCAAATTAGGGATTTATGAGATATTTTGCTAACAGTTGGCTCCAGTAGTTTACGGCAAAGTTAAAAAAAATACTTGCTCGATCAGGAAGTGCTTGAGCAATGTATGTGTCTCAGCTGCCTGAGTTATAGTCTTTGTTTTTACTTAAAGTCAAYTACCTGTGACGGCCATCTTGAATGAAAGCTACTGTAATCAGTTGTAGATAATGAGGTATACTGAGAGGCACTATCATGTGACTTTTCGTGGTTGTAGAGAACGGCCGTACTGTTCTGAGCGAGGACAACTCAGCAGACAGTACAGTTAGCTGGTGACCATGATGGTAACCATGATGTCTTCAATTTAGGTCAGCTTTGATAGAAATGCTTATCAGTACATGTTATCTTATCAGGCAAAGACATGTTGCCAAAGTACACATGTCTGCAAAGAATGATGCTTCTAAAAGGCAGAAGCTAAAATCAATTTGTAGGCAAATTCAGCATTCTAGTCATAATAAACTGTTAACACTGACAAACAGTTCGACATTATGCTTTTGCCACAATGATCAATATTTGAAGCATTCGTTTTCTAGTCAACATACCTTATTGGTTGTAGATGTTTATTTGTGCCAGGAGGTTAAGTTTTTTCAGTAGTGTTGTCTGTCTGTGCACAAGATTACTTAGAAACKTATGAACAGATTTTCAGGAAATACTGAGGAAATTTTGAAGTTGTTACAAAGAATGAATGATTAATATTAAAACTGTCCTTTCATTCACTACATAGTGCATAAATTATCACACACACAAAACTAGCAAAACTGTTTCTGTCTACACTGTGCTGTGTTAGCAAAATATCTATGAAACCCCTTGATGGCCACTGCAGATAATAAAACTTTGCAAACACAAAAGCAGCTATAATTGTTGTTGTCATGGCTGGCCCATGGCATAGGCAGTGTAGGCAAATGCTAAGAGCACCATCCATCTAGGGGGCACCACAAATGTGGGATAAAAAAATGTTATTATTTTTATTTTATCAGAGGATAGTTGATTTAGTTTGTAGAATAAACACTGGTTACTCAAGTTTGTGAACTTGTTCTGTGAGTTTCTCAGCCACTATTGAGGTGTTAAATGGTATATATATACACACACACTCACTCACCGGCCACTTTATTAGGTACACCAGTCCAACTGCTCGTTAACACTTAATTTCTAATCAGCCAATCACATGGCGGCAACTCAGTGCATTTA